TGGGATTGTCTGCCCCCCTTGGGACCCTCCCTGGCTGCAGGAGCACAGCCTGCCCTCTCACCACAGGCTGCAGGGGGACCTCTGTCCTGGGCCACCTTCTCCTGCCTGTCCACACTGACCTGGGTCTCTGCCTGGTTGTTTCTCACATCCTACTCTTCCCTCTGATGCCGGTTCCCCCACAGTCATAGCACATGCACCTTCCCCCAACCCCACCCCCAAAAAGAAAGAAGAGTATGTTATTCCAGAGTCACTACCACCATCACTGACTGACTTGGCTGTGACCAGAGGTGTATCTGACTTGGAGACGGGGAAGCTTCTAGCAACTTCTTACAAGAGACACCTGTGCCACCACACTGCCCTTGGCCCTCCCCTGCCAAAACTCTGCCACACAAACCCAGTACAATTTAATTATTCAAAATTCTATGTTATGTTTGATCAAACATAACTCTGATATGGGTTGTAACAGGATGCTGGTGTCTTCCTTTGACATCATGCTTAAGTGTTTGTGACCTATGTAACTGCACTTTCAGTTGAGCACTCTATTTTTCTCATCTGATTAAAGATTTAGGGCATATTTTTCTGGAGAACTTGTTTATTGTACAAATTGGTGGAAGAGAGTATATAATAGTATACACAAAATAGAATGAATTTTTGGAAATAAAACCAAGGCATATTTCTGTGGAAGATGAAGTAGAAATGCTAGAGCAAGTCTAATTCTTCTCTAAGAATATTATATTGTTTTCCTGAATTTTTTTTTCTAAACTATTTTGATTTTTATTTTTGTTTTTTAATTATGTAGGCACCAAAATGGTATCCTCTGCTTAGTAACAAGTACACTAAATTTAAATCTGAAGTACAAGTAGGTGTTGTGTTGGAGGCTGATTCAAAAGCACTGGTTGATGGTTTTAAAGCAAAGGAGGCACCCCCTAGAGAAGGAAAAGGTGAGTAACATAGTAAGAATATCATTCACTTGGAGTTAAAAATGTTCTTGTGCCAGATGAACATATTGCTTGTTGTAAATGTGTTGTTTTAAGCCTCAGAATTTTAATTTCATATAATTTTCAATGCACATACTTTTCAGCTGATTAATGTACTTTGTGGTAATAACATGGCAAGGATGCTTTACTGTAGTAATTGTGTGACACGGTTACAAACCAACTGACCTTTAAAATTCAGAGTCAGGGATTCACAGTTTAATCCTGTGGGCATTTTACTTTTATTTCAGGGCTTTCTAAAGTTCTGTAATGAAAGAAATAAAGGAGGTCCTTCACAGAATGCAGTTTTAGTATTTTAGACTTGGAATTACCAAGTAGTGCAATATTTCCTTTGTTGGATAGGCTGCTTCTCTTTTCTAATGCTTTTTTTGTCTAATCTGAATAATTCAGTACTTATCAATATAACATGATTTAAGTTTTTATAGTAACATCTGCTTTAACTGTTGGGACTCGTTGCATTTCTGGATTCACTCGTATATTCCCCTTAGAAGTAATTAGTGAAATGTGTCAAAAATCTGTTAGGACTCAAATATTTAAAGCTAGTATGTGTGTTTGTGTGTGTGTGGTGCTTTTCAGTGATTGTTTTATCTGGGAATTTTAAAAGCAAGTGAGCAGTTAAAAAAAAAAAAAGTACCCTAGAAATGTGACTTAAAAAAAGATGCCCAAACCAATAACAGATTTACCTCTGCACCTCCTCCCCATCCCCCACCTAAAAGCTGATCTACTTAATTTTTGAAGTCTGAGCCTCTATTACAAGTAGTGGATTTTCTACTTACCTTATAATGCTTTGTGTTCTTGCCCTGAGGGTAACCTTTTCCTAATTTTAAATTCATCATCTGCTTATCATGATCTGTGGCTGAGGTTTTGTAAAAACAAAGTGGTCAGTAGCAGTGTTTTATGAGGTTTCTGGCCCAGACTTTGGCTGCATTGCAGGAGTGGTTAAGGCAGCACTGAAGTTCCAGTGTAATCACGTAGCTTACTCCATCCTTTCAGGTTCACAACAAAGCACAGGGGGTTTTGCATTCCGTGAAGTTTGTGAAGGAGGCAAAGAACTACTGTAAATGATAATCTGCATTTCCCTTGTGCTCTTTCTGCCCGCAAGCTCTCCTACCCCTCTTGACGCTGGCAGATAATCCAACACATCCCTTCTGCCTTCACACAGCAGTGTCTTCCACTTCATGTTTTCTGTGGACTAATTTATATAGACCAGTTTGCCAACTTTTCCTTTTCTGTCATCTTAATACCATATTTAGGCCGTGAAGGAATAACAAATGTGTAGGTGTTTGCAGGTGTAAAGTTCATGTTCCGAGTACTGTGCATAACAGAGCTAGAGTACCTAGTTCTGATCTAGTCAGATAGTTGAAGAGATGCTTTCTTTTTAAGATTCATATACTTTGAATTTGTTTTATGTTTGGTTTTCTTTGCTTCATTAAGTGGTCTAAAGTTTCCAGTGTTTGAAATGGAGGCAACCAAAAGTGCTGTGTGATTATTACTATTTGGTGTAACTTGAGGTGCTGTGAAATGTATTGGATTACTGACACTGTAGAGTAGAAGCTAGTAAACCAGAATACAGTGTTTTACACACTCAAGACTTGAGACGAAAAATCATCAAATGAAACATTCTGTGGAATGAGACATCATACTTCTCTCAACAGTTGAACAAGTTGTCATGTGCAGTTGTTATCTGGCATTTCCTTTAATGAGTAAAATGAAGAATTAGCATTGTAGAATTAGCATGAAATAAGGTTCCAGTCACTGTAACGTTACTCACTGTAACATTACATAAAAACAGGCACTAGTGTTCTGTCTAGCATAGCATTCAAAATAACATCTGTTCCCACTAAATAAAAATTAATTTCAGGATTTTTGTAGCTATGCCTAAGTATACTTAGAGACTTTTTCGTGTTGAAATGCTTTGAAACCAGGCATCAAAATCTTTATTTGTAATTTTTTTTTCCACATATGCAATAAATAAAGGTAAAATTACAATTATATGACCCCTGTAGCAACTAATAAGGTCACAAGTTACGTATTTTCTTCTTCACTCTTAGCATCTGCTCTTCTTTCTGGAGTAGACCCTAAAAGTATTGTGCCAGTCTTGAATGAAGAAGAGGGCTATCATCAAATTGGACCAGCAGAGTACTGCAAAGACCACTTTGTCTTGTCTGTAACCATAGCATTTGCCACACAATTGGAACAGGTTTGTTTCCTTGCTATGTCTAGTTTTTAAGTACTATCCTACATTTGTATTTTTGCTCCCCCCGCCTTCTTTCTAGTTAGAATTTTTTAACTGTTTAAGTTTCTTGCAATAAATAGCCTTGTCCCATTCTGAATTAATATACATGAATTTGAATTTTGAAATTTTATGTAGTGCTTACATGACAAATTACAGATGAAAGATTGGATTCTTTTGGAGCACTAAAATTGCATTTACTTTAGATTATGAATTTTATGAAATGCATGCATTTATATTACAACACGGTATAAAAATGATGTGTATAGATAATACCAGTCTTCGCTGTGGTGCCGGTATGCTGAAGTTCAAACATGACTAAACACTTTTCACATCCGTAAGATATATAAAAACGCTACTGTTTCATATATTGCCGGGGGGAAGGACTTACTATGAAGTGCCACGCTAATGTGATTATTTCAGCTTTAGACCTCAGCTGCTGTTTTTGCTGGACTGTACCACACTGACACACAGTCATTTAAAAAATATGGGTATACTGTAGAAGTTGCAACTCCAATAGATTTTAATTGATCTATACCTTATAGAGTATGATAAACTCTTCTCAGTCTTGTCATCTGTTTTCAGAGAAAATAGTTTTCCATGTCAGAATTATAGGGCCTTGTGAAGTAAATTTACTGTGATCACTCTGGGGTAGTTTGTGCCTTTTTAGGCATTGAACTCTCACTTGAAATGGCTATAGGATGAAGTAACTGTTTCTGGCCGTTCCAGTCCGTTATTCACTCATGCAAGTTATTATATAACTCACTATCTAATCTGCATTGTTTATTTATACTATAAATATTTTGTGGTGGCACTGCTTATTTCTGGATATTTGTGCAGTTCCTGACGTTATTGAATATATGATGTCAGTTACAGCCTTTTGGTGCTGATAAAGGAATTGGTACGCTTGTAAAGCAAGGTTAAAAGTAGTGTTCTTATTTTGTGTGCAGTGCTAGGATTTAGGTCAGCTGGTCGGTAGTTTGAGATCACTTTAAGCTCTTTAATTTCCAAGCTAATACTTAAGGATTACTGTAACTGTACATTAATGAAAGAGACAATCTTTTCTGCATCTTTTTCAGTTAGTTCCTAGTACTATGAAGCTTCCTGAACTACAGCCTGAGTTTTTTTTCTACTACTCATTACTTGGAAATGATGTCACAAATGAACCTTTCACTGATTTAATTAATCCAAACTTTGAGCCAGAAAGAGCTTCAGTTCGAATACGTAGTACAGCTGATGTCCTTCAAGTTTATCTTTGTGCACAGTCAAAATTGCAGGTGAGCTGTTTCTTCTCAAATGTGAATGAAAATAAATAATGAAAATAAAAGAAATGGAATATGACTCAGGCTGAAACTGGAAAGCATTTCTCTTTGCGAAACTAGATGATATTGTCGTATTTTAGCTCATATATAAGTTGATTCTCTTGCTGATATGAGGGAAACTCTACCAAGTTTTCCCAGCTCAGATGGAGTGCAGTCTCTATAGTACTAAGTCGCTGGGTTACACGTCGTGATAAAAGGTTTTGGTGAAACGTGATACACCTAACGAGCTAATGTGGTGTTCTGGGACCTGCTCTGCAGCCAGACAGTCTGCAACCCACAGTCCTGCTTTGTGCTGCCTGTGATAACCTCACCCACGCTAGATGCTCAGGTCACTCGACGAAGTTGTAGGATCACTGTCCTCAGCACCCCTTGTGAATCGTAAGGGAGGTCCTGATGATCTTAAGGGCCTTTTTCCGCCTAAAGGATTCTAAATAGTGGGTAGCAGTGAAAGTGTTTCTGGCAACCTGCATCTGGTTCACACTTAACTCGTTACAAAACAAGATTTGGTTGAGGGTAGTACAGGGTTTCTAATAACACAGCTAATCGTAAGGTGGTGTTATCTATACAGTGTAAGTCTTGGATCTGGATCCTTTTAAAGTTGTTTTTCTTTAAATGCATACAGACCATTCTAGTTTTGTTATCAAGGTTAGTTTAAGAAAGTTTGTTTATATTGTTTCAGGGTTTTTTTGTTTCAACTTTGAAATATATTTAATGACAGATGTTTGGAAAAACATACGAACTTATGTGTTTGGAATTTAATCTTAGTCTATGGTCTTGAAACAAAGTATGAAATATACAAAGAATTATGCAAGAGTTAGTTACTTTCTAGCACTTTTGTATGCCTACAGATCCATCTTTGCTGTGGAGACCAGTCTCTTGGAAGCACTGAAATACCCCTGTCTGGACTACTGAAAAAAGGAAATATGGAGATGGATCAGCATCCTGTGGCATTAGAAGGAGCGTTTGTCCTTGTTCCACCAAATAGAGCTAAACAGAAACTGCCACAATTGCCTTTGGATATGGCTCCTACTGTTGGAGTATCTGTAATTCTGCAAAAGGAGAGCTTGAGTGTGCAGGTATAACATTCATTTGTTTTTGGTTTGATGCTGTTACCCAGTTTCATGTTTAAAAAAAAAATACACTTGACAGTTCAGTATGTAAAAGAAAACCTGAAAGAACAATTCTCTTTATATGAATAATCCTTTCATTGCTTCATTTTTTGATGTCAGAAAAATAATCTCGAGCTATAGAAATATAGACAGAATTTTTCAATGCAAACCATCTTCATTAAGAAAACTATATCACTTCATTTAGCCTTTGATTCCCTCAAATGCTCCAACTGATCCTGAACAGCCACAGGAGAGGGTTCTTTCACCTACTGGTAGAAAAACAGAGGGTCTGCAGCAGAGATCCCAGAATGCCCCATCTCAAGATGACCATTCTTCTTCAACAGAAGATGAAGCAACAGAAAGTGAAGTGGAAAGCCTTAAGTTTGAAAAAGGCACAAAACTAAAGAAAACAGGTATGTGGTATATAATTTTTTTTCCCCAGTTATCAAGTGTGGTGTTGAATCACATACTGATCATTTGTGGTGATAAATTACAGACAGGCCCAGAGAGGTGGTAGATGCCCCATCCCTGGAAGTGTCCAAGGCCAGGCTGGATGAGGCTTGGAGCAACCTGGTCTAGTGGAAGGTGTCCCTGCTCATGGCAGGGGGGTTGGAACTAGATGGTCTTTAAGGTCCCTTCCAACCCTAACCATTCTGTGATTCTACAAATTACGTAAAACAAGTACCAGGAGAATAAAGAATGTAATTTGAATGTGGTGGCTGTTGAAAACACTTGGAGGAACTAGATTGGGTACTTGGTAATATAAAGATTACAAGTGACATGGATGGTCATCACCTTGAAAGATAATACCAGGAATGTTTGGTATTTGGCAGTGGGAAGGTTCAGTACAATACCCATGAAGAATCTAAGGAATGTACTATATGGATAGTAAATTGTGAAAACAAACATTCATACAGTATAGATTCCTGGGTAAAGCTAAACAACTGTTTGTTTTGTGTGGTTGGTTTTACATTATCATTTTGTAGGGACTTGGTAGCCTACATAGCCTTTCAAGACTTCCTTGTTTTGATTTTAATTTGAGGACTGGGTTGGGGGAGGTTGAAGAGGAACAGAGGTGAGAGAGGAAGAAATACCACAATGATAAAGTTCAGAAGAATGTTAACTTGCTAAGTGTGACTGAACATGCCTCATCTGAAGTGATGATTTATTAATAAGCTGAATGGTTATTTTTCTAATGATATATGAATTACTGTTCTTTTGAGATTGGTCATGAAGATACCCAATTCTGTAGAGGAAAATCTTGTGTCCTAGAACGTGGTCTCAGCGTTTGTCTGCTAATTCAGCCAAATTTTCTTTTAATCCTAACTGATTTTAGCTAAGCAAGGATTAAGTCCTTTATATGGAATGTATTGAGAAGTATTGTGAACCCAGCAGCTAGTTTGAATCCGCAGTTAAGAAATCCAGGATTGTACTTTTTTTAGTAATAGTAGTAATAATTCCATAACTCTGTTTTGGGAAGATGTAAAGCATGTCATTTCACATTTATCTTTCAGGGCAGGTGGCCAAACCTTGCCAAGAGACTAATAAACAGTATGCTGAAGAACTTCCAGTTTTCAAGTCTCAGAGCAGAGCAAAGTCACCTCTATTGTCAGATCTGCAAAATTCCAGTAATGCAAAATTTATCAAATCTAGTATGTTAAAATTTGAATATAGTAGTAACTTAAATTAATTTTAACAGTAGGCTATATGCAATTTTATGTTTTCTTCTCTGTGACAGCCTTAAATTTCTATTTAAACATTTTCAGTGTACCAAGCAATCTGGTGACATTTTACCTAAATGACTGAAAATTATTTCATTCCTATGTTGTGCTGACTGATGGTGAAGGATTACCAAATTTTTATTTTCTGTATTGTTAATGTAAACAAAACACTCAAACAAGCAGGAAAAAAAAAAGCCAGTGCTATCAGTGATTTATTTATTTAAAATTACAAATTTGGAAGTATTATCGATAATTATGACGAAAGGATCAAAACAACTAGCACTTAGAAAAAACTGTTTTCTATGACAGTTCTTTTGCCTCTTTCTCTGCTTTCCTCTGTTAATCTTTTTTGAAGGATACTTCTTGGAGATCCTGTCTGTAATACTTGTATTTTGACTTGTTACTCTTTGAAGGCCGTATTGGGTCTGTGTGTAAGTACTTGAGATGCTTGGATGCAATTGGACAGGCACTCACTGTTTGTTTCAATAGTTAAACCTCAGCTTGGGACCAATTCTTGATGCTTCCTTACTTAAGCACTATAATTGTCCTGGTGCTCTGTCTTTTTCAGTCCCAAACTAAGGAGGTTAGTTAATTAAAAGCAAACTGAGTTACTGTAAATGATTTTTTTGTAAGCCCACATCTTCAGCATGCCTGCATGCCTTCAGCATGTTCCTGGCTAGGAACAATTTCATAAACTGGTCAAAGTGAGGTCTTACAGCATCCCTCTAAAGAATTTAAGATCTTGGATCTTAGCTTAAACTTTTCGTCAGTGAGATAAACTTACATAGCTTTGAAGAGTAATAGAAAAAGGAAAAATATTACAGGATCTCTTAAGATTATATAAAGTATATTCGGGGTTTTGACTTTTTTCTTTGGAAGCAGTAACTTACAAATAGCATATGTTTATCATAGTATTAACTTATAAGGAATTGAAATACCTTGGGCAAGCAGCCTATCTATACTTGCATTTAAAATGTGAGACCTATCTTAATATTACTTTTGATATTTTGGGAAGAAAGAATTATTAAAAATGCATGCATTCTCTTCTGTGTTTTCAGATGATAATGGTCCAGTAGCTGCATCTCAGCCCGACCCTGTGGGTGCATCCAGTTCTTCTGAGCCTGTGTCAACACAGAAAATTGTCATTCCAGCAGCTTCTCACCATTTTTGCTTTTCAATAGACTTACGAAGTATACGTGGTCTGGAAGTTGGTTTTCCAATAAATTGCATCTTAAGGTATAACTTACTTTTGTTGATCTTCTTGCTAATAACAATCCTTTTTGAACACAGAGCCTTCATAATCTGAGTGCTAGCAGTGTGCTGCCTGATGCCTTTTACCTTTATGTAGCTGATTTTCAATAGTGAAATAATTTGAAATGTTCATCTGGCTCATCCTTATACTTCTGAGCATGACAGCATTAAAGATAGTGTGTGATACTTCACCTGCACTGTAATTTGTATTAAATCTCACTTGAATGTCTGAGCTCAGACAATGCAGATAGTTCATCATTTCCTTAGAGGAAAAGGAAGATTTGCCTTCTGCTTTCCATCAGGGCCCCTTTGGTGCACATGATGAAGCATATCTTTAAAAGGTGATTTGGTTTGAAAGGGTTACATATTTGTGTCTGTGGAGGTGCATCTGCATTTGCTTTGTATCTGTTGTTCTGACAGTTTGGTTCGATAGCTTGAACTCGTCACAGGGAAGTCTATTTGTGTTAGCAGTTCTTGGAGTTTAAGCTTTGTTTGAACTGGGGTAAAAACTGGGTGGTAGTGGGGAAATACTAAAACACATCTGATAGAGATTGCATCATCATTAATGGTTTTATGAATAGCCTGTGTTATAAAATAGTATCTGGAAAACAACGTACAAAGAATGGAATTTTGTCATGTAAAAGCATTTTTGCGTAACATTTCAAAAATGAATTTTCTTCAGACCAGTAACAACAAATAGGTTTTGATGTTTCATACAATTCAGTTATGAATATGACAAGAAACTCGAGGAGAAACATCCAAACACATAATGCAAAGAAAAGTTGCATGGTAAAAAAAAATAATTGCATTTTCACTGTATATTGGGAGCGTTATTTCATTCAGGTTTAAACAAGTTCTTTAAAAGGAGTTTTGCACAAGCAGCTGAAGTATGGAATTTTATAAGTAGCAGCATTTGATGTAGCATTTATTTTATTAGTAAGTTAGCTGACAGCTGACATCGTCAATCTGAGCAAAGCAAAGTTCAAAAGGTTCTTGGCATCCCCTGTGTCATAGTTTATCATAGTGCCAGTAGAGTTGTTTCAGGCCAGATTGCAAATCATAAAATGATTCAACTTTCCTTTTAGTGAACTAAACTGTGGGAATTAAAAACTAAATTCTTCAGATGTGACTGAAATTTTCTGAAGGTTCTCATATTGTGTATATATTCGGTTATCAATTATTGCATGCTCTACCCAGCCTTAGCTGTAAATACAGTTACAACTGTTCTCAAGTATCCATCTAGACCTGAACATTATTTTCTTCTATTTCTCTGCTCAAGTCTATTAAAATTCTGCTATTATTATATAAAGATTAATTAATATGATTGTGAACTTATATGTTATTAAAGCTTTTTGTGAAAATAACAGTAAATATAAATTATGCTGGATCAGTGGTCAAGTAAATGAAAACAGAATATTTGAAAACTAAATTCTGGTTTTGGCTGTATTTGTTCAAATTTTAACAGAATCACAAAATGGTGGGGGTTGGAAGGGACCTC